CAGTTTTTGCACGCAGGAATGAACTTTGTTCACTCAAATTTAGCTTTTCTTTGCTCAAAATAAATTTCTCCTCAAAATGCAACACTTGCACCTGCAAACTTTTATTACGTGCGCTCAGAATAGTGGCACAAAAATAACGCCATACCTGTCAGCGCTAGTGTCTTTTAGCGTCTCGTGTTAGTTTCCCCGTATGTCCTGTCCTCATTCACAGATTGTTTTCACCTGTGGTTGATTGTGTGCACCTGTTTCTCTACTGTTTACTCAGCAAACACTTTCTCAGGAGTTTATGGTATCCGTTGCTGGTTCTAAGTATTATTGAACATAATATCACAATCATTTTGCAACATCCCTGTTAGAGTTAAAAACCAGGATGAAGCAGTGTACGATTCAGGGCAAGCTTACGTTGTGGCTACAAGCTGCCACCATATTTCATGCAGTGTCCTCAGTTTCTCTGTTAAAGTCACCGTTTATTTGTCAAAGAGGTTTAACTCAAGGATTCACAGCGCAGCTTCATCTGGACGTGGCTGCAGCCATCTTCTAATACATTGATTCATGCTGTTGTGGATTAAACAAAGTGTAACTGAATATGAGAGCTTAACCTTTTAAAGATGTTGACTGTATCAGGCTGTGTTGTCATTCTGAATTCAACTGAATTCAGTGTTGTTTACACAGCCTTTCACAGATTAAACATACTCCATCTATAGCCCCAAAGTATCAAATCTGATATGTACTCAGAGCACAATGAAGACAGTGTTTTATCTATGACTTATCAATGTGTGTGTGTGTGTGTGTGTGTGTGTGTGTGCTCTGCAGAAGGTGACAGTGTTTGTCTGCACTAACCGCCACTGATAAGTATCTGCTGAAGTCCTCACAGTCTCATTCCCAAAGTGTGCGATTTAGCATGTCAGCAGAGAGAACTGGTTTGTTAAGTCGCTCCCCTGGGGTCCCCTCCCGGCGCCCCTCACCCCTCCACCCTCCCCCTTATCAGCAGTTGTAGTTCACACAGTAGCATTTTGTTTGGCGTATACAGGTGTCGTTTACCATTTAGAGACTTCAGTCTCTCTGCTTCATCACAGCATGAACAGACACACACACACACACACACACACACACACACACACACACACACACACACACACACACACACACACACACACACACCTCTGGGAATTCAGTCTTTCATGGCTCTTGTTTCAAGGCAAGCAGCAGAGCAGAGGTCACTGAATGCATTTGTTGCTCATACAGTCGAATGTCCACGTTAAACATATGGCTGCACTTCAGTGCTCACACATTCATTACTCACATTCAGGTATATGTATAAAAAACTAAGCATCGCCGCTCTGACTAAAGCATGATGAAGTATATTTTCTCTGACAATAACCTGCTGACAGCTTTTAATCCTCCAAATAACACTTTATGTTCTCTTTTGCTGACTGTTGTTTAATTTTGGGGATTCACAAAAACCCAAATGACCACACTGAGCTAATGTCAGGATACCTTTTTTAAAGGGTGTGTCTCTGTAGTTTTAGTTGGGAGCATTTGGTTTCCATCAAGAGGAAATCTCAGTCCCTCAGTCCCCACAGACGACCATGTTAGGATGTCCAGCAGAAATAAACAGGAAACTCTTTGCACAGTTTGTTGGTGCCTTTTGCACATTTGTAATTATGTGAAAACTTCCTGAGCACTTCATTGTGCAAACAGCTTTTTTCATGCTTTACTTTGCACTGAATATGCTAATTTTGCACCTGCACAGTTTATAAATGCAGCTCATTATCAAAGCTTATTAATGGTAGCTGATAATTTAACAATGCACCCACCAAATTAATTATGCTTTTGGTGCAGTTTTGCTGTGAGCGTCCATTCACCTCTATACAGTAAAAAAGGCTTATAGAAAATGC